TCAGGGCAGGACAGGGCAGGGCAGGAGGGGGGGCGCCCATTTTTCTTCTCCACCATAGTCCTTCCCTGGGAATCCGGGATGAGAAAGACCTCATGGATGGGGAAGTAGAGAGGATGGTGTGGGAAAGAGTGAGCCCAGCCCTTGAGCTTTCTGGCTGGCCCTGGCTGCTCAGTGCTGCCCAGCCACCAGCCTGGGAGTCTGCAGGCCCTCCTGTGTCCTTGGCATTGCCCAGCCTCAGTTGTCAGGCCCTCAGCTCTGGCCTCCCTGACTCCAGCCTCTCCAGCATGTGAGCCTGGATCTTTAAACTGTTAGCACTGGGTCCTTCCTGTCTCCAAACATGGGCTCCTTTACCTTAACTCTTCAAGTTCCCTATTCCATCCCAGCTAAGACCCTCATTTGTCCTCGTTCCCTGGGTCCCAGAGATCCATTCTGTGCCTCACCTGCCACGAGAGCAGAGGGGAGGGGAGGGGAGGGGAGAAGGCAGCTTCCAAAAGCCCCCCTCTGGCCCTTCCCAGGCCTGAGATGCCCTGTGTGGAAAATCACAGTGAATCCTCTCTCTGCTGTCCCAAGAGTGGGAACAAGCTACTGCTTCAAGCAGCAAGTGTCCAAGGGGCAGAAGGAGGAAGCAGAGCTGGAGACCCCCAGGTGCATCTGGAGCCCCGCCAGGACCTTCTCAGCCGCCTCTTTCCATTCTATCCATGAATGCCCCCCATCCCACTACAGTGACCCCTCTTCTTCACTCTGCTCCATTGGAGGAAGAGGCACACCTGGGATTCTCTTGTGGTGCAGGAGATTGGGAGGAATCCACCTTTGCCTGCTCAGACCCAGAAGCCATCCCCCAAACAAACCCGCAGGCTCCTCCCCAGGAAGGGTCCAGCGAGTGTTCAGAAGAGCTTGATGTCTCTCGTACCCCTTGAGGCCTCACAAGGTTTCCTGACTTTCTCTTTGCAGAATAAAATATACGCAAGTCCTTTGTGTTAACAGAGCCATCTCTTCCAGGAGCCCCAAGGATGTCACTTAACTGATCACTAACTAAGTAGTCTCAGCAGCCTACCATGTCCAGGTGTCTGAGTAAAGGATTCCAGCAATAAAAGACTTGCAATCCATGGACAGTGCTTGCTCCTTGGGCTGGGCTTTGGGGGCGGCAGGGTGTCACACTGGCTTGTGTGGCACACTGTGCCTTCCCACTGTGGCTAGATTTGAATCTGCCAGATGTTCTTCCTCCATGGAATGCCATGGGTGGGGGGGGGTGATAATTAGAAGAGCCGGGGTGGCTGAGCACTTCTGTGCCCCAGGACCCACAGGTGGCACAGGCCACCTTGCCCAGAGTGAGACCTGGCTCTTGGCCAATGGCCAGCCGCTCTGACCCCCAGGGTCTGGCTGGGGGCTGCTTCGGGGACGGAAAACCGGCCCTGTGATAGCAACTGGAGTCAGGGGGCGTAAGCAGGTTGTGAGGCAGAGACTCCTCCCATCACAGGTGCCCCAGGATGTGTATTCCACACTCTACCATTCTACACATTTAAAAGCTCTGGGGCTTTCATAAGGAGAGCTGGGCTCTGAGAGAGATGAGTTGGATGGGTCTTCCAATGTCATGGATAAAGACTCACCCCAGTCCGTGGCAAGTGCAGGGAGTAAGGGGCTCCCCATTGAAAGGTGAGAAGGTGATGAGTGACGGGCAGTTTGTTCTCACTGAGACACAATCAGTCTCTCGACTGTTGCTCACCTCCCACAGAACCCCCTGGGGACGGCTGGTACACGAGGCATCTCGAAGTTGTCCTTGTGCACTGCCTTCTTCCAA